CTTCCGATTTCAAAAATCAGGTTCTTAATTGATGACATACCAATCCGGGTATTCAAGAACTGCAAGGACTTAGGTGTCCGGTTCCCATTCAATCAACCAATGAAGATATACTCGAGCCTTTGGAACGCCGATGATTGGGCCACGAGGGGCGGTTTAGAGAAAACCAATTGGGCAAACGCACCGTTCATCGCCTCGTACCAAGGTTTCCACGTCGATGGTTGTCAAACCTCGGTTGAGGCCAAATTCTGCGCCACGCAGGGCAAAATGTGGTGGGATCGGGAAGAATTCCGTGACCTCGACGCTTACCAATGGCGTCGGCTCCGTTGGGTTAGGAAGAAATGGACAATTTACAACTATTGTACGGACCGGTCTAGGTATCCGGTTACGCCTCCGGAGTGTAAGAGGGACCGGGATTTGTGAGGTGTGATATCTTTTGGTTGGCAAGGAGAGGTAAAAAATTTATCATGATGTGTTTTATTGTTGAAAGATTGTTTTATTTTGTATGTGACGTCTGTGCTTATGTTGTATGATGTTTACTCGTGATATGATGATGATGATGATGATGATGATGATGATGAGTATATTATCGATTTTTTAATAGTATATGATATTGTAAAAAATGATTATTATATGGTAAAAAAGGTTATATAAGTCATATTTGCAATTTTTTATTACTGCATTTGTTCAAATTTTTATATAAGGACATTCATTTTCATTTTGATTAAAGATTTAAGTTCATAGCATGATACATATACAGAAAATATATCATATTATATGGCGCTATATGATTTCATAAATTTTTTAAAAAAATACATGACAAATTTATGTTTATCTTTTTATAATATGCTTAGAGTTCAAAGACATTAAGATTTGTTTTTTCTTGGTATGCATTTCATTAGTTTATATAAAAACTGATTAGATCAAACCAAATAAAACAGAATCACTTACGATTAATAATCGAATAAATATGATTTTTAAAACAAAAATAACAAACTGAATTTAATATAAGAATTGAATAATTATTATATAAAAAATTAAATATAATATATCCGAAAAAATATAAAGAAGCAATGAATTTTTTTTACTTCGGTTACCTCACAAAACCAAACAAAATATCGGTTTGGTTTAAGGCTTGACCGGAATTATCCCTAAACCGGTTTCTCGATTTCTCTAGAGAGAGTGAGAAAGTCCCTCCCGTCCCGACTCCACCAACACCTTCCCCCTCTTCCACAAGCTTCTCCTTTTGCTATCCGTTTTAAGCTTCGCAGATCGTCGATAATCCATCGTCTTCGTCTCTCTCTGAATCTCTATCGTCGCAGAAAACCCTAATTCTCTCTTTCTCCGAGTGTGTGATTCTGAGTATTTGGGGGGAATTTCACTTGCCCTTTTTCGCGGAAAGATGGCGGGACACGAGCGCTTGCCGTTGAGGATGAAGAGGAAGGACATTGACCGAGTCAACGATGACTTCTCCGATTTCACTCTGTCTTCTCAGGCTAGGAAGATTCGCCGCCTGGTACTCCTTATCTTAGTGATCCTGGGGAAACTTTGTTGCTGATCGAGTTGAATTGAAACCCTAGGTTTCGTCATTTTGATTCATGATCTGGAATTGAATTGCTTTCCTGCTCCTATTCCTCTGCTTCTGTTGGCTGTATTTTTCGCTCAAGTGATTATTCTATTCGAGATTATTCAGGATGTGGATTTACCACCGATAATGGAAGAAGATGAGGCGCAGATGGGGATGGCGATGGCGAAGCCTGTGACCGAAGAACTGAATCCAGAACCGATGAACGAAGAGAGAGCCATTGTTGTGTACAAGCCTCTCCAAGCTCATCAGTCTTACTGTGGAAACCTTCACGTTGATACGGACTTGATTTCTGGGTTCAAGAGTAAGTTTATGACTGTTTCTGTATTTTGCTCTCTTAATCACTGAACTGCAAATGTTGTTGATGTGAGGTGAAGTGTTCTTATGGTTCCAAAAGTGTAGTTTCTATCTGGAAGCTCAAAACGACAAAATGGTTTATAGGAGAGAATTAGGGCTCAGGAACTTTCGTATGAAACTCTTTAGACATTAATGTCTGACTTCATGGATTGGACAACTAAGAATTTGTCTGTAAGAGAATCGTTAGCAGATCGCACATTTGAATTGGTTCGATTAATGAGGGCATCTCATCTTGTGCTGGGTGTTCAGATTATAGGAGGACCTTTACGAGTTTAATAGCTTAGCAGGAATCTGATAATTGAGATTCTGTCACTGAAACCATCGGTATGTCCTTTTCGTGCAGTTTCTTCACAGCATGCTATCCTCAGACGGCGGTTTCCCCCTCTGTGTTTCCGATACTTAAAAAGCCAATTGCTTACCTTTAAACAAGCATCTGATGGGTGCTAATAAGATTTGCCCTTTTCCTTTTCTTGCAGATAAATTCCTTCGTGCAGGCTATTATAACGATGCAAGACTAGCCTACGATGACTGTGATGAAAATCCATCCAACAATTGCCGAGCTGTAGTTCCTTACATCCCTTCTCAGTTCCCTGTCACGAAATCAGCAGAACCCTTCCAACAGCCCCACGAACTGGAGATCACTGAGGTGGACGAGACGGGTGAGGATGTGATGATGGAAGAAGCAACAATGGAGATCAAAGAGGGCAGTAACAGTAGCATGCCTCTGCCACAAGAGCCGGAGTTTAAACATTGGCAGCAACAACAACAACAACAACCACACTGTATGATTCCACAGCTTCCTCAAACCAACTCTACTCCCATTTCATGGTCCCCATAACCAAAGTAAGGTGTAAGCCTCTCCCATATTCTTTTTTACCTTTTCTTTCTTCCCGCGAGATCTCATCGTGGGTTTGAAACATCGGAAGCTTCAGAATCACGTTCTATCGTTATGCTTTTTTCGGGTGGGACGAGAAAAAGGGCGGTATTTAGGAAGTAGAAGTGGCCCTTAGATATAGATTTCCTTAGGAAAGGTGGCATCGTAGTTCCCTCGGTATATATAATATATGTACATACTCTCGTCTCGGTCACCAGTCAAAAGCTTTTGATGTTTTATTTATATCCTCTGTCCGAATGGAATCGTCGAACGAATTTGGCTGTTGATTGTATGAAGGAAATAGTATCAATGTACAAACAGGAGAGAGCGCTTGGATTGATATTTGTGTTTCCCGGTTTTGATCGTTGAAGAACATTATTTATTTCAATCAAGGTTCAATCTATTGCAATTGGGCATGATTCGATTTCAGTAAGATAACACCCGAAATTCAGATATTTAAAAATCGAATTTCGTAAAAAGATGAGTTCGTCAGTTTTATTAAGTATGAAGAATTGTTGTAATTTAAAAAAAAAACAAAATATGTTTTTAGGGAAATTGGAGTAAGTTTCCTATATTTTAATAAATTTAAAAATATTTTTATAATTATATATCGCTATATATAGACATTAATGGTGAATCGTGAAATTAAAATTTGATTTCGGAATATGATTAATTTTTTAATATCAATGAACTTCTCGAAAATTAATTGAAGATGATAAAACTGTATAACACCTTTAATATAGAGTCTTTATTTACAAAAAAAAAAGCAGATTACGAAAATAGAAAACAAAATTATTTGACAAAGACAGTTTCTTTTAATATATTTCACCGAATATCCTCCATTTTTTCAGTACCAATCATCACATTTCGAATTAGTAAACAAATGTTCTTGAGGCGTGCAGACCAAACGTTAGAACTTGGAAGTGTATTATGCCCTATGCTCTGCGCGAATAATTCCACGTGTCAATTATACAAATTTAATTTTAATAATATTATTAATGGTTCTGAACTGCTCCGTATGTCTTCCCAATTTAGCGTACCTCCTAAATTTGACGATGATAAATAATACTGTTTTTTTTTTATAACGGTGGATCCCTAACTGCTACCCTTCGGGCGCGTTGACTAGGTAAACTTCCGGCCCGAGAGCAACCTTTGTATATGGATCATATAAACCCAGAAATTACCTCAATCCCCACCGGTCAGGAATCGAACACTCAGCCTCAAGGTGGAGTTACTTCCTACCCCAAGTTTGACCACTCGCCCCCGATCTGTTGGGTATAAAGAATACTGTTTTCCGTCATCATTGAGACATTATATAATCATACGTAGTTTTAGTATTATTATTTTGTTTTTTTTATAGAGGTCCATTCAAATTTGTCCTTTGAACGTTTGGCATCATATAAATTAAAATTCCTTTGTAATGATTGTGGAAAATTAGAAAGTAGGGTGTCTTTAATTTCACATACAAATTATGTCACGGCCACGGTTTCTCGATCTCGCGATAAATTTATTCTCTCGATTCATAAGATAACATTGAATATCATATTTTCGAATAAAATTCAGATAACTCGTTTATTCAATCGTCATATTTCTTAATATTATCTAAAATGTTAGATTTAAAGATTTTTCAGCATTTAATTATAAAACGTTTGGTTATTATTAGTTCTAACGATAGGAATTCCTTCCAACTAATTTTAAATGATTTTGGGTGTTAACATCATGAATGTAAATGTTTTTTTTTTGGGGGTCAAAAGGGGCATTATTTGAATACATTTAGTAATTTTGTATTGGGTTTAGATATATTGTACTGGGGATGAAATCATGAAAGTTGGAATTTAAAATTTATCCACGAAACGTGAATTCATTGGTCGATATATATAATATTTTTTTTTAGTTTTTTCTAATAAACAAAATGAAGAGTTGAAATATTAGGTTTTCCTCGAATTTAATGATAATTTTTGAGTCGAAAATTGATGGCACAAATAGAAAAAAAAAAAATCCAACCGCGGTTGATAGTTAAATTATTCAACTATCTTGTATGTAATAATCTTCTGCCGTTTAATTTTTAAATTCTAAAAATTCAGAATTCTTTATATGTATGATAGTGTTTTATTTTGTTTAGAAATTGGTTATAACCTTAGTTTCCAATTAGATGCATTGATTTGACCGGTTTAATCCGGTTATATCCTGTTGTATATGATCGGTTTATTATTATTATTATCATTATTATTATTATTATTATTATTATTATTATTATTATTATTATTTTCGTTTTCTGTTAATTTCGAATGTTACATATATAGCCATTGATTTTCATTCGAGTAATTGATTACAAAATTGTTCCAAATTGTTCTTATTTTTTCAAATTACGAAATGATATCATAACTCTAAAATTATCCTTTTTTGTTGTTGTTGCGTTTTCGGTTTTTGTTCTCTCGTGTGATATTTCTTTTCAAATCGATAACATTTCTTTTGTGGAAAAAATAAACTAAATCTATTTTCTTTTCGTTTGGGGAATGAAACAATTTATTACTTTTAATAACATTTAAAAATAATAATAATAAATAATTGGACGGTGGATGACAAGAAGATAATACATGAACATGTACGATGAATTCTATTAATATTTTTTTTCACAAAAAAAAATCTCTATTAATTTGTATATTATTTTTCGAGATTAGTGAGATTGGAGAGCAAAGTATCACTTTATAAATAGCAAAAACGTTGGGTATATTAAAATTAAGCCAAATCAATCCAATATAAAGAATGTTAATACTAATGATTTCGTATACCCTACAAATATATGTGCCCTTTATTATCTACGTTTAATTTTTTTTTTTATCAATTTCGGTCCGTTCCAAATTTAGTTTTTATAAATATATTATATTTTTTAAATTTCATTTTGATTTTTAATTTCTAATGATATTAGCTTAATTTAACAAGATTATAATAAATTCATTTTTTAAATCAAATTGACTTCTACTTATTATTCGATTTTGATTTTTTATACACTCAAAACGAAATGCCTACCAATGTGCGGATCTATGTTGAAAGGAGTGGGGGGCACATGCCCCCATTTGATTGATTAAAAATAAGAATTTCTTTGTAAAATTTATAAGATTTTGATTAAAATTATTAGGCGTCCCCATGATAAATTATGTTATCATTCAATAAAATTAAGTTTGCCCCCATTGACAATATATCCTAGGTCCGCTACTGTAATAATGTGACACCATACGTTTATGTCTGAATGCATAAACATAATTTTTAGGGCCATATATATATATATATATATACTAATTTCAGAAAGATGTACTGAGAACTAGACATGTGGTGTCGGGAGAATTATCATGTGACATGGCAGGTTGATTGATTGGTAGTTCAGAAATAAGACCCATTGCACACAAATCATCATATAATAAATGTTTGTTTTTTATAATTTTTTCGAAGTGTTTGTATTTTAAATATGTTTAAGTCATTATTTTTGTTTTAATACGCAACAAATATTGTGTGAAATAATGCCGCAAAATGATTGAGATCGGTTTCATTTTTCTATCGTTATCTAGAAATTCTAGCCGAATGTTGAGCAATCATGGATATATCCATAAGCCTACAAAATATATAATTTTTATTATTATTATTAACATAAACTTCTAAGCTTAATATTATTATTCTTCTTACGAATATATATATATTTTGGTATCCGGGGAGTTCACTTGGGCATGTGGCCCAACCGCCATCTCCCCAAGCCCGGGAACAGCCGTTGTCAAATTATAGCAACGGCTGCTCCCGGGCCTGGGGAGATGTAGGTTGGGCCAAAGGCTCAGGTGAACTCCCCGGATACCAAAAAAAAAAAAAGTTTAAAACTTTGAGGTTGAAGGTATATTCATTAAAAATTGAAAAAAGGATCCAAACGGCAACCCATTGGTTTATATATATCATATATACGTATACATATATATATATATATATGTATAGTACAAATGATCCATTAATAAGGGATTTGTATTATGTGTATGCACAATATTCATTATGTGTGAGAGACAAGATATGAAAGAACAAGGCATGTTAGTATGTTACAATAATGGCAACTTGTCCATGGATGAGAATGTGTCATGTATTTGGTCATGACAATTATTTACAGATATTTCTTAAGCTTAAATTTGATTTTTGTTATAACAATAAACAAATATTTTTATATAATTATAGAATTTATAAGCTTTAATTAAATCATGTTAAGCCATAATCATGTCAAAGAATAAAATTTATACTTTAGGAATTGTTCTTATTTCAAATCTTTGAAATAAGAAAAAAAAAAGTAGTTAGCCGTTTGTACGTATATGTCCTTCCACTCTATGAAACATTCAAATAATTCAATATTTGATCATCTCCCTAATTTATTATTTAAACCGTACGTAATCCTCTGTCCACAAAAAAATTAATCTCTTCCTAATCATTCTTTCATTTATATTAAATGTGTATATTTATATATATGTATGCAGACATAGGTGTATGGCAAAATGTGTTTTATATATACAGTCCATCACAATTGGCTGATACTTTTTTTTGGGATTATATATATATATATATATGCCTATATATAATATTAATTATAGAAATTCAGTCCTTCATTGATTGCTCACGAAAATTATCATAGAATCATTAGCAATATTTCATGTGAAAGTTAAATTCAAACTCATATAATATATTATCTGGCACATTTAATTGGGGTGAAATAAACAAATGATTAGCCGACCAAGTGGTTAATAATTGCATAATTTATATACCAATATTCAACTATATGTATATGTATACACACACACGCGTATATATACCCCAGCACTTGCAAGTTCCACTCTCATACAGAAGAAGAAGAAAAAATCAATTCATCCACAGAGTAAACTTTTCGTGGTCAAACCACCATGATGAAACTCACATGTTTTGCCCTAAAGTTCCAGTATCTTTGCAGTTGCTTGTGCCACAAGGTATCGTGTTTCCTTAAACCATTCGGCTATGCTCTGCTCCGACTATACAGATTCATCCTCCACCGTTTCAATTCCTTTGTCGTCGAGCTTTTCTATTTCATCTTCTTGTCCATTTTAGGGTTTGTTCTTCTCAAATCTTTCAACCCACGAACCAGTAGCTTCCAACCTAGGGATCTTGATCTGTTTTTCACCTCTGTCTCGGCCACGACCGTGTCCAGTATGTCCACTGTCGAGATGGAGGTCTTTTCGAATCCTCAGCTCGTCGTCATTACCGTTCTAATGTTCATAGGAGGCGAGGTTTTCACCTCCATGCTCGGCCTATTCCTCAGAATACATGATTCTGGTTTTCTAGATATTGAATCTAAAGTCGCGTCTGTAAATTCCTCACCTAGAGATCTTGATCAAAAGGTTCTTGATTATACGAATAGTGGAGGCACTGAGCTAGGGTTTGTCGAGAAAAGTGATCAATTAGAGAATCTAGAATCAGGAAAACCCGAAAGTGATTACCATCTTCCTCATGAGTATCCTTCGCCATCATCAGACAGTGAGAGATCGCACCGTTTGATACTGAGTTCGATGAAAATCTTGGCGTTTATCATCTTAGGATACCTAGTCACCGTCCATGTTCTAGGGTTTACCCTTTTATCTCTCTATTTGGCCGTTTCTTCTACCGCAAGAAACGTGCTGAAAAGCAAGAAGCTGAATTCGTTCACGTTCTCGGTCTTCACAGTGGTCTCGACCTTTTCGAGCTGCGGGTTCGTACCCACCAATGAAAACATGATCGTCTTCAGACAAAACCCCGGTCTCCTTCTCATCCTCATCCCACAAGCCCTCTTAGGAAACACACTGTACCCTCCGTTTTTACGCGTTTCCATCGCCGTTGTTTCCAAGTTTCTCGGTAACTGCTGAGAAGTCACGGAGAAATCAAGTACCTTCACCTGTTTTCCAGCCTCCGTTGCCATCTTATCGCCATGACGGCGCTAGGGTTTGTAGTGATTCAGGTTGTGATGTTTTGCGTAATGGAATGGAGTTCTGATTCGTTGAGAGGACTGAACAGTTATCAGAAATTCGTCGGATCCCTGTTTATGTCGGCGAATTCAAGACATACCGGAGAAACCACCGTCGATATCTCCGTGATATCGCCGGCCATTTTGGTGCTCTTCGCAGTGATGATGTAAGTCTCTCTCTCTCTCTCTCTCATATTCATTGAACCTCATATTATAAATGTATATAAAACCTATGTTTCTGTAAAATTTCGGTAGTTTATCATATAGTTTTTCGCATGAATATATACATACAATTGTTTATACAGTTATTATATGTGTACCTTTGCGTATGTACTAAGAAAATGATACATAAGTCGATAGATTCCACTAATAATTCGATTTAAATAAACTCTGAGGAGGCATTACGGATCAACATATTTTATAATAATTATTAGACAGTCGTGTTTCTGGGCAGGCGCTTGCAATAAACAACCATTTTTATTTCTAAGATTCTTCGGTTTAGAATTTTTTTTTTACCTATTCTGTTTTATGTGGTTTTGGTTCGATTTGAATATTGTTAAGGAAAATCTTAAATGTTTATTGAAGGGATTTTCAATATGCAAATATTATATTCAGGAAAGTAATGTTATAATTATTTAAATGCAGGTACCTCCCTCCATACACATCTTTCGTCCCAATAAAAGACGATGGGCAAACCAGCGGAAGTTGTGCTCGAGATTCTCCCTCGCCGAGCTCCAATCCTCGATGAACCTGTTCTTGTTTGTCTCCATTCCTCCACCCATCTTTGCTCGGGAAAGAGGATTGGTGGATAACGTGATACTGTCGCAATGTTCATATATCTCCATCTTCGTTATCTTGATTTGTATAACGGAACGTAGAAAACTCAGAGAAGATCCCATCAACTTCAGCATCTTCAATGTCATCCTCGAAGTCTTAAGGTACGTACATGCAACGTTCACATCCATCCACCGAGTCCAAACTCCCGATTTTATTCACTTTTTTTTTTTAATTTTCATTTTCATTTCATGTTTTGGTTTTTCGGTTTAGATATAGACTATACGTATTTGGGTTTTTTGTGGAGTTCAATTTGGTTTGATTTTTCTTTGGAATCGGTTTTTATTGATACATATAGCAATTTTCTTAAGAAACTTTTTTTTTCATATTCCGTCGAGGTTTGCATTTTTCGGTTTTTAGAAAATATACATTCATTCGATTCTCATATCAAATTAATTAACTTAATGGAACCGAAATGGTCACCTTAATAACCGTTTTTTTTTTAAAAATCCTCGGCAGCGCGTACGGGAACGTTGGATTCACGACGGGGTATAGCTGCGGACGGAGGGTGAAAGTGGACGGCTTTTGTGAAGACAAGTGGTTCGGTTTTGTCGGAAGATGGAGCGACGAAGGCAAAGCACTTCTCATCATTGTAATGTTCTTTGGTCGGCTCAAGAAGTTCAACATGCGTGGTGGCAAACCTTGGAAGCTCCTCTAATATATTCTTATGTTTTATTTTCCAATTTAACACTGTAAATTACCAAATGAAAAAAAAATAAGTATACGATTTTTATGGAGTATAGTTACCAAAAACGGCATTCTTTGCTCCTGTTCACTGCTGTTCTGCGTCATGACTCCATGGATAAGCTCTTGTTTATTATGTAATCAGATTCTCAAAAGCCGTTCTTCTCCGCCACAATAAGAAACGTTCAGAGCCCTGGCACATAAATGCTGAACGAGCAAAATATGAGATCAAAATCAAGGGCAACAGAGTTGGTATTTATTTGCAAACAAAGTGTAATCCTTTGTCCAAACATGTCAAGGAAGATTACATCCTTTGAGATGTTCTCGTTCATGCAAAAACCAAATGCAAAAACAGAGTTCTATGATGGATTTGAGCTGCCGAAAGTAAAACCCGAGTTTTAGTTTGCTGCGAGTCATTGCAAAGCCGATTCCCTCCGAGCTAGACTCAGAGGAACTTCCTGTACGGTCTGCCTGCATCCTCGTCTTGCATATGCTGCCAATCCAAAGTTAACATAAATTAGCTTTCGAGAGCCAGAAGTTAAATGAGAAATGGAATAATATCCTTCTTCAACCATGAACTGTTCATCTTCGAGAATCATAACTAAGAACACTACAAACACAGAGAACCAAGTGATGCACAAGTATGGAACATGGAATGGAACCCATTTGAAATCAAAGGACAAATCTTTTTCCGTGATGTCTTCCAAATTTCTTAAGCACCATTTTCCTTTGGGTATTACGGAGGTCAGAAGTTGAACTCGATAGAACAGAAACAGAAGCAGATCAAACTTACTCAAGACAGCACACAAAATCAAAACGTTTAATCGATGCTTACCATTGTTCAACCGCATTTCCCATCCCAACAACTATAACACAAGCTAGTTAGTGCAGCTACTCAAAGAGAATCATATCAGCAGGTTAAAGGAACAACCTTCGTTCTTTGTGCATATCAAACATATCAGTCAAACACAGTTGAGCTATGGTGTATACAGAAGTGGATGAATATGATCAAATAGAAGAATATACGAAGAAACAGCAAGAAACTTAGGCAGGCGGTAGCAGGACACGCAACAATCCAGATCCAGACACCGGCAATGAAGTACAATCAAACTCTGATGAGCAAACTAATGTAAAATAATCGACCCAGGATCTAGGAAACCGAATCCCGAACCAGAAATGAAGTCAATATCTCCGACGTCAGAGAAAATCCATTCTAAACCCCGACATTCCACGAAAACTAATTCTGTACAAATAGAACAAAGAGAACTGACTCTATCCAGGTAGATCGACTAATCCGAAAACCGAGTTCTGGGCCCTAATTTATCACTGATACCGCAACAACACGAGAAATTAGGGCACACAATAGACGCGGGACACATCACACGAGCGAGAAATCGAGATTGAGTTCGAGTTCAAGATCGAGATTGGACTCACGAATTCTCGGACGATTCCCTTGTACACGAGGATCGGGAGGGCGATGCCGAAGATTCCGACAAGAGCAAGGTTGCGACGAGTCCAGCGGAAGTTGTGCTCGAGATTCTCCCTCGCCGAGCTCCAATCCTCGATGAACCTGTTCTTGTTTGTCTCCATTCCTCCACCCATCTTTGCTCTCTCTCTCTCTCTCTCTACTCATGCATCATCTTCCGCACCAGCAGCAGCTTCCCGGATTGATGTGGCCACAAGAACACGAACCATCTGCATGTTACAGTAAGGATTATGTGGAAAACCGTTGGATACTGAGTGCCCATCTCCCGCATTCCTTAACCGAACCACACATCACAATTAAATATCCCAATTTTTTGTTTAATTTCGGTTCGACTTAATCTTCCGGTTCGACTTAACCACGAAAGTTTCATCAATGAGATTTTCGTGTTGGATTTCGTTCATTACAAATTTTTCGAAGCTTCTGAATCAGACAGAGTCATCTATCGTCTTATATATTGCACACCGTGCGTTTTGACGTAGGTACGGTTAAACGACATCGTTTGTCGTTGTGATCCATTAAAACAGACCGACAAATCCGCCGGGTTTCCATCTTCTGGCCGACTCGGGACACACACACACACACACCGGTGATAGTAAAAATATGATCATTGGTGAAAACCCACCGGTGAACACGAAAATATGTTGGCATTGGATCATTAAAATAACTATACATTGAATAATATATTAAAAAAATAACATTTCTTATCGGTAATTTATATATATATATATATATAAAGATTATATACTTATTTGATATATAATATTCATATTTTATTTAAAAACAAAATCTAAAATCCAAATTAGAAGACCGTCTAACTGTATTAATTCCAACAACTCTTTCTTTCTCGTACAATTTATTTTCAACACCACATTTTAACCCAATAAAATCGAAATTTCTTTTTATTTTTCTTGTCGGAAACAACTTCAAATAGCTAGCGTCATTATTAGCATTGTTGGGGAAGCAATATCGTATCAATTCGAGCTAATTATTTCGTTTTGTCCTTATCTTAAATAGTTATAAAAGGCAATAAAAGAAGATAAGATATGATTCCAGATGATATATATGTTGTCAATCATGTTGTCTTTTCATTATCTCCTTCAAATATATTTTTCTATATTTTCAAAACATCTATAAAATATTAGAAAATCTGTTGAACGGTAAAAAAAATTCCAACCAATTTATATATTTCTCGATCCTTACCATTTATATTTCTATGTTTTTATGATAAATTATATAAAATATATCTAAATTTTATTTTTTATTAACTAAAATATTTATTTTTAAGATTAAAAAACACATTTTTTAGGTCTCTCTTTACCGCTTTCATTTCTTTCACCTTTCGCATTCTCTTTAATTTTTTTTATCACTAACAATATATCTTCTAGTTGAAAAAATAATATTGAAAAAAATTAGTTATATATATATATCGTTTGTTATCTTTTAAAAACATTATATCTAACTAATTTTGAAGGATTCTAAGAGACTATCATATTTTAAAATATTTTCAAAAACAGTTTTAGGAAATTTTCCCCTATTTTGTTTTGCATGGCATGATAGATAAATACCAATTCTATTAATTTAATCAGTTTTATGTTTTTTCCTAGTAAACTTTATTTATTAAACATAAGTATTTGATTAATATAGAGATAACCTTTTTTGTCTTTTATTATATAAAAGTATAAAGTATGGTTAGCCCAATAAATTCCAATGTAGCATCTTAAAGGGTTTATAATATAACGAAAAAACTGTTATATGATTGATTTCTCATCCTTTTTCTTTGTAATTATCATTATGTTTATAATTATACATAATTACGATTTTACTTCTCTTTAAATTTAATTTAAACTTCCATGTTTAACTTAATTGCATGAGTCAAAGGATCAGGGGACAAGATGTCGACATTGAGATAATGAGGGTCAAATTAAAGTCAAATCAAGAGGGCAATTGCTAGGCACCATCTTATTTTCCGAATTCCAAGCATTGTTCATGCATGGGAAGGGCATTTCCGTAAATCACACGAGTTATTTATAAGTTTTTTTTAAATAAATATTTATTTAATTTATTGTAATTTTTTTATAATTTAAAAGTTCATCGGAACTTCTGATCTCATATAATGTGAATTAAAGAAACGCATGTGAATTGCAACTTAACATGACAATATTCACAATTCGATTTTCTTTAAAAAACATATAATATATAAATTTTAACATAATAAATAATTATATCAAATTTATAAATATAATCATTAAGATTTGAAATTATGAACAAATTGATACATCAATATTAAAATTCTTCAAATTTCATTTCATCTTTAAAATTTTAAAATAATCAAAAACTACGATCTTACATTTATGATTAATTGAAACTCTTTTTTTTTTTATAAAGTTGAGACTCTTATTTTTTTGAAGCTATATTATTCATAAGCACTTTCGAAAAATTCCCATTTTTTTCCGCTCACTTTCGAACTCTACATTTTTTGTTATTTTTTCGCCTACACAGTTCGAATTATTTTGTCACTAAATTATTTGTTACGTATTTTGTTTCAACTTTGTTTTATATCGATTTCTTCCGTGGAATTCGCTTTATATATATATATATATATATATATATATATAAAATGGGTAATAATGGAGGGTGACTAAACCAACCAACCCACCATAATTCTTGTACATCGAATGAAACACACACAAGTCAACTTCACCCAGAGAGAGAGAGAGTTCTCTCCAATGGAAGCGAGAGAAGGGCCAGGAAAAGGGTGAGAAAAAGTTTGTCTGGACATTGTAGGAGAAGATTGGGGGCAAAGCTTCGGCATCTGGTTTCCGAGTAACCAAACAACCCCTCCGATTTTCTCTCTCCTCTTGTCTCCTCGCTTTCGCCGGCGATTGTCGTCGCCACGGGCTCGATTCCATCGTTTTCCTGTCCCTTTCCCCCCTCGCTTTGAATTTTCCTGGAAAATTTGCAGAAAAAGTGCGTTTTCCCATCGTTTTCTTCCTATTTCTGCTCGATTACTCGCGAATTCATCAGGAACTCAGTCAATCCTCGGCCTTTTCACTGTCTCTGCCAGTTGTTTTAGCTCGGAGGAAGCTGGATACGTTGGTTATGGATCGATATTGAAGAAACTTTCTCGGGAAAATCAGGGAAAAAATGACCGTTGCGGGGATTGGAAACGGAGCTCTTGCAGCAGCAGCTACTGCTCCAAGTACTAATCCCACTGGAGGTAATCTCCATCTCCGTCTTCTTCTTCCTCCATCCATCTGCAATTCGATCAATCCTTCGTTTCTTGATATATTTTCTTGGTAAACAAGCAGCGTCACGAGCATAAGAAAAGAAAAGGAAAAAGAGAGGAAACAAAAACCAAGGGATAATCAAATTTGGGGTTTTTTTAAGTTGTGATGACCAATTAGATTGCGACAGGTGGCAGCGGGACTGTGTCGGCTGACATGAAGAAAGGCATAAACGCGGAGCTATGGCAAGCATGTGCAGGGCCGCTGGTGAACTTGCCGGCGGCTGGGACCCACGTCGTCTACTTCCCTCAAGGCCATAGCGAACAGGTTGGTCCCTGTAATGGAGTTCCTTTTAGTACTCTCTAGTCTCTGTGATACGTTTTCGATTCTATTCGGCATTTATTGCTTGGTGTTTAAGGTTCAAGTTCAGCTTCTCTGCTGAAACTGGTTTACACTTTTCAGACATGTGAGGAGAGACTAGCCCGGAATGGAAAGTTTGATTTCCTATGTTTTGGGAAAGAAACAATCTGGGTTCAAAAGATACCGTAATTGGTTTAGGTTAAGCATATCATATAGTGTTGGTTTTGCAGGTTGGCCCGAAGGAAGGCTTGCAATTGGGCGGTAAAAAATGCCCGAGTTGATTTCCGTAGTATCTTGCAAGTTGCAAACTTTGGGGTTAGGGTTTGAGATGCATGGTGATTGATTTAACAGGATTTTGATGGCTTTGTGTGTGCACTGTCAATCCTGTAGGTTTGGTGAGGTTTGACAATGGCATTTCAATGTTTCAGGTGGCTGCATGGCTGAGGAAGAATGTAGATGCACAAAACCCACATTACCCAAATCTTCCTTCCAAGCTTATCTGTTTTCTTCACAATGTCACGCTACATGTAAAGCACCTACTTCCCCACCCTTAGATTGTTTTTCTCTATGCAATTTGCACTTGTGACTCATATACAGGAATATCTCGTGTTTGCCTTTATAGGCGGATCCTGAGACTGATGAAGTGTACGCTCAAATGACACTCCAACCTGTTCCTTCGGTATGGAAATTATGTTAATGAGTGATTTCATTCTGTGTTTGAAAGAGTTCCATTTGGGGGTTCTGATTTCCATCTGTATGCCATGAAACTGATCTTAGCTTCCCATAATCTCATGCAGGTTGACAAAGAAGCATTGCTGAGGTCAGATTTATCACTCAGAACAAATAAACCCCAACCAGATTTTTTCTGTAAAACATTGACTGCAAGTGATACAAGCACTCATGGAGGTTTCTCTGTTCCACGGCGTGCAGCTGAAAAGATTTTCCCAGCTCTGGTGAGCACATGTCTTTTAATGGGAACCGTTTTCTTCCATTAAATGGTTTAATCTCAGGTATTGGATCGGACAGGATTTCTCTACTACACCACCTACTCAAGAACTCGCGGCAAGAGATATACATGACAATGTATGGTCCTTCTGTCATAAATACCGCGGTAAGTTCTTTATACTTCTCTAACTCCATATATTACAGGTGAGATACATTTTGCCTATTTAGTGTATATTATCCATTTATAACCATAGTTATAGTCCATTTATGCTCATTTTGGTTCAGGACAACCAAAAAGGCACTTACTTACAACAGGGTGGAGTTTGTTTGTTAGCGGGAAGAGGCTTTTGGCTGGTGACTCTGTTTTGTTTATAAGGTAATTCAGCTGGATTTGGATTCTGTGGCTTCTCTTGACTGGATAGATGCGTTGTTTTGGCTTTTTATTGCTTGAAGAGGAAAATAAATGTTCTAACAAAATTTATCATGCTCTTCTTAGAGAGTAATAGATTTATAACAGTAACACATTCTGCATTCTTGAGCAGAGATGAAAAACAGCAACTTCTAGTGGGCATACGTCATGCTAACAGGCAATCAGCTAACCTCTCTTCATCTGTACTGTCAACTGACAGTATGCACATAGGAATCTTAGCAGCAGCTGCACATGCTGCTGCGAACAATAGCCCTTTCACTATATTTTATAACCCGAGGTGAGTTTTGCTTCTGATGTTAAGATGTGAATTGTGAATTTTGTACTTTTGTTTTTAGTTCGTTCCTCATAGGTCTCTTCTTGGATCGTTGCGATATTTTTCCATTGCTTTTGCAGGACAAGTCCTTCAGAGTTTGTTATTCCTTTAGCCAAGTACTACAGGGCAGTCCATGGCAACCAAATATCTCCTGGCATGCGTTTCCGCATGATGTTTGAAACCGAGGAATCTGGAACACGAAGGTATTTCTCCTATCGCTTATCTTTATGCCAAACTAGATGGCATTGTCAAAATCCATTGTTGATAATACTACCTGAACAAATGAGGTCTGATTCTTTCTTTACTGGTTGGTTTGATGTGAAATAAGAATACATGCAACATGATTGATAAAATGGAGAAAACTGGGAAAAGCACAACAGTTGGTATTTGCGCTATCTTGTTAACATGGAATCCAGAATTGCTTTATGTTTCTGTCAGTGCTTACTGTTGCTCGGAAAGTTCATGGGCATGATTTGGTTTGGCAGGTACATGGGTACAGTCACAGGTATAAGTGATCTCGATCCTTTGAGGTGGAAGAACTCACAATGGCGTAATCTTCAGGTATGGCTTCACAAATTTGTGTTTTGTCTCATGATATGTTCTTGTGTATATTAGTAGATATCCAATGTTGAATAGGTTGGTTGGGATGAGTCAACTGCCGGGGAAAAACGCAACCGCGTTTCAATCTGGGAAATCGAATCAGTAACTGCACCCTTCTTCATATCTCCACCACCGTACTTCAGATCAAAACGTCTGAGGGAACCAGGACTACCAGGTAAAACATTCAAAACATCGGTCCGTTTTTTGTGTGTGTGTCTATCTGCCACTCTCACTTCGGTGCTAATAGAATCATCTCGTTAGCCTTTCTGTGTAGCTTTACTTTGCTAGTCACTAAAGTCCATACTTCTCTATTGGAAAGGTTTCAACTTTCAAGTACCTCTGCCTTTATAATAAAGTCCGGAGCAGAGAGTGTGCCGTAGTCCTTCTCTTTCATTGTTTCAAACATAACATTCATATTCCCGCGAAAGGATATTGATTGGAGTTTCTATGTGCTTCAGATATTGATTTGTCTGATATGGATCGCTTGTTCAAGAGAGTGATGCCTTGGCTTGGTGACGATTTCTTGTCGAGAGATTCTCAAGCTCTGCGTGGATTGAGCTTGGTTCAATGGATGAACTTGCAGCAAAACCCTTCTCTGGCTCATTCCCTGCAGTCCAATTACTTGCATTCCTTGTCGGGATCAATTCTTCCAAATCTCCCTGGATCAGATCTTTCCCGTCTTCAGTTTGGATTTTCTCCGCCACAAATCACCCAGCAGAGTAATGCAGATTTTAATCCTCAGAGGTTACCTCAGCAAGTACAACAGGTTGGTCAGCTTTCCAAGATTTCTTCTTCTTCGAATCCACTGGGCTCAATCTTGCAGCCTCAGCCACAGCAGTTGGACGATGTCACTCAGCAATCGAGGCAAAATAACATGAGTCAATCGTTACTGACGAGTCAAGTCCAGAACCAAGTTTTGCAGACACAAAATATCATGCAGGGTAACAATGTTCTTCAGCAGCAAAGGCCTTCTCTTCAGCAGCAACAGAACTCAGTGCAGACACAAAATATCATGCAGGGTAATATGGGTTCAAATCAGCAACAGAACTCAATGCAATTTCAGATCCCAGATCAAGTAAACCAACATTTACTAATGCCAGATAATCAAATTCAACAACTTCAGCTATTACAGAAGCTACAACAGCAGCAGCAGCAAGCACTCTTAGGACAGCAAACAATGTTACCACATCACCGGACCCAGCTTGCTTTGCTCCAAGACCAGCAGAGGCAGATGTTAGATGGGTCGGAAATGCCTCAGTCGAATATTATATCCCAGCAGATTGCTAAAGGTGGAAACCATGATGCCCGATTCAGCCATCTGCCACAGCAGCCAAAGCTCGAGAACCGGCAAACTGTTACATCCTCTGAATTGCCCGGACGTGTAGGTTTGTCTCCGTTTTTTTCCACTAACCAGCTTTCTGTAAGTGGCGCCAGTGGTTTGACAGGGATGGCCAATGATATTCCGTCCTGTTCCAACTCACCTTCTGCCATCAACAATCCTACTGGAATACAGCTTATGGTAAATAAACAATCCAATATGAGTGCATCATCCATGGGGGATGACATGGTTCATTCTGTTTCCATGCTTTTGCATCCTAAAACTCGGGAAACTGTAGCATCGGGCAAGAGCTACGTAAAGCAGAAAGAATCATGGCCTAAATGTGATGTGAGGCCCTCAGTGGATATCTCGAAGTGTCAAAGCGAGGGCCTTTTGCCGCCTCATTCATATATGAGTGGGACTTTTGCTCAGACAGAGCATTTTGATGCATCGTCTTCGACAACTTCGGTATGCATATCTCAGAATAACAATGTGTTTTCCTCTAACCCTCATCCGACAATGGTGAGAGACTCAGTTCAAGAAAGGGAGATTCAGACAGAGATTCAAGGTACTGTTCTATATGGGGCTGATATCGATGGTCAGATGGGGATGCTTGTTGATAGCAACTCGCCTTTTATAAGGGGCATCACAGCAGAATCGAGGAAGGATTTCTCAAGTACTCTGACTCCGGGTTGTATGATCGAGAACTACGATAACTCCAAGGATGCTCAGCAGG